CTATCTATCTATCTATCTATCTATCTATCTATCTATCTATCTATCTATCTATCTATCTATCTATCTATGTGTCTGTCTGTCTTGGAGACAGGGCCTCTTACTAACCTGGAACTCATCCGGTAGGCCAGGCTGGCTGGCCAGCGGTCTGTCTGTCTCCACCTCCTCAGGACTGGAATTAGAAGTGTGTGCCACAGTACCCTGCTCTTTTGACATGGGTTCTGGGGATCGAACTCATGTCTTTGTGCTTGCAAGGCAAAGACAAGTGTTTTACCGGCTGAACTAGCTCCTCCCCAGTTTCTAAATATACCCAGCCCCCAGAAGCCCAGGCTGACCTCAAACTTCCCCGCTATTAACCTTGAACTTCCGATTCCCAGCCTCCAACTCTCCAGTGCTGGGGTCACAGGTGTGTGCCACCATGCCCCTATTATCTGTCGATCAAGGAAGTAAGGTAATTTGTGCAAGCGTGGGTCGTTCGGGGACCCTGTGGGCAGCTTCCTGGAGCATTTGACTCAAGGTTACACTTGCGCTCAAGCCCATCAAGCATGTTTGCTGTCTCTTGAGCTCCTCAGAGAGCCTCTGTGATCCTCCGCTCCCTCCAGAGTCATCCTGAGAAGGTACCAGCTGCAACCCCAACCCACTCTTGTCTCGGTGAGAGAAGAGCGTCTCTTGTTAAGGCTGATACCCCCTGCAGGAGCCCCAATCCACTGCACTCACACAGCTCCCCAATCCCTCACTGCTTAGAACGAAGCCATCCGGTTGCCAGGACCGCTATTATTCATACCCCTTGCAGATTCCTCATGGGCCCCCTCTGCTCCTGCCAAGTGTAATTAAGCTGAGTGGGGACCTCCACATGTGAACCACACATGCAGAACAAACTCTTCAAAACGGCCGCGACTGTTCCGATCAAGAGTCGGCTTTGTGAGGAAGGAACAAGGGCTGAACTGTGCGTCTGGTCTTTTGTGCTCGGTGTTGGCCAGGGACCAGGAGGAGTCAGTTCCTTGGTTCCAAAGAATTTCATTTACGTAGACAGGAGGCTGAAGAGTGTTGTGTAATTTCAGACAAGATACTGAGAGATCATTTCTGAGAAACCATTTAGGGCCCAGCCTTCGGGGGAAAAATACCAGCTTTTTAATAAAAAAAAACTTATATGCCAGGAGAGAGGACGTTAAACAGTGAGTTTGCAGAGGAACAGTCATCATTGCCTGTGGTACTTCTGGAATTTCAGCAACCATGGAGGACAGCGAGACCCTGGAGTGCTGGCAGGATCCAGCTGAGGCCATTGAGGAATTTGGCCATCATTCCCACTAATTAGTCCCTTCTTCGGATGTTTCGTTTTTCATGTTTTCAGTTACTTTAGACATGCTTGATCTGAAAATATTAGGTGAAAGATTGCAGAAATCAGTAATTCCTAAGGTTAACTACTGTTGTTGTATTTTTTTTTTTTTTATTTTATTTTATTTTCGAGACAGGGTTTCTCTGCGTAGCTTTGCGCCTTTCCTGGAGCTCACTTGGTAGCCCAGGCTGGCCTCGAACTCACAGAGATCCACCTGGCTCTGACTCCCGAGTGCTGGGATTAAAGGCGTGCGCCACCACCGCCCGGCCTGTTGTTGTATTTTTGAGACAGTATCTCCCTCTGTAATCTAAGCTGTTCTGGAACTCACTATATAGCCCAGGCTGACTTCTAACCCATGGGGATCCTCCTAAATGATCAGATTATAATTATAAGGGTGAATCCACGGTGCTGGCTAGTTTTATGTCAACTTGACACAAGCTAAAGTCATCAGAGAGGAGGACACCTCGATTGAGAAAATTTCTCCATGAGATCAGGCTGCAGGCAAGTCTGTAGTGCATTTGGTTAATCAGTGATTGATGAGGGAGGTCCAGCCCATTGTGAGTAGGGCCATCCCTGGGCTGTGGTCCTGGGTTCTATAGGAAAACAGGCTGAGCAAACCAAAGAGCAAGCCAGTAAGCAGCACCCCTCCACAGCCTCTGCATCAGCTCCTGCCTCCAGGTTCCTGCCCTGTTTGAGTTCCTGTCCTGGCTTCCTTTGATGATGGACAGTGTAAGTAAGATAAATAAACCCTTTCCTGCCCAAGTTACTTTGGTCATGGTGTTTCATTGTAACGACAGAAGCCCTAAGACACCCACCATGCCTGGCTTAAAGAAGTTATTATAGTGTATCCTTATTAGTCATTGTTAATCTGTTATTATGCTTAATTAATAAAAAAAACTCTTTTGCAAGTATGCACATATAGAAAACATATATGCATAGGGTTTGGTACATCTTTGCAGTTCAAGGCATCCACTTGGGGAAGAGACTTGGAACATACCCGTCACAGAGGAGGTGCATCTACTGTCCTAACTGGAGAGGCACACAAGCAGGTGGACTCCCAGCATGGCCTCACGCTCAGGTTCATCAGCAGATGGTACGGTGGATAAAACGAGAAACGTCCTCCGTAACTTCAGGCATTTGAATACTTGGTCCCTAACTGGTGGTGCCGCTTGGCATGTGTAAGAGGTGGAGGCTTGCTGGAGGAGGTGTGTCACTGAAGGTGGCCTTTGACCACTTAAAGACTTTCAAGTCGCCTCAAGTTGGCTCTCCACTTCATGCTTATGTTCAAGAAGGGAGGCCTCAGTATCCAGTCCCTGCCGCCATTCCTGGGGCTTCCTGCCAAGCTTCCCCACCATGATAGACTAACCCTCCAGGACCATAAACCCAAATAACCCCTTTCCTCTTTATAAACACATGCCTTCACCATGTGTTTATAACAACAGAAAGGTCATGAATCCATAAGAAAAAACAGCCATCACACATTCAAATTCCATCTCCTAGCAGCATAGAAAACACGCCTCTCAAAATGACTGACCCTGAATATGCAATCAATCGGGCAGATGAAAGCCTTGTGTTTTGTGACGAGTCTGTTGGATAAGACTATTGGCATACGCTACATGTTATATCTACAATTATAACCCAGAGTCGAGCTTCCCGTTCAGTAGGCCTTGAGGAAGAACATAATGATAAAGAATGAACACAGATTTGATCCCCTGAGGCCACCTTAGTAAGCCACAGGTTCTTTCTACCAGCATGGGGGACAGATGGCCTGACACTCAGGACGTTGCCGGAGCCACTGGCGTCTCTGCTCACCTGATTGTCCCTTTTGCGGGAGTGTCTTACTTCAGAAGCGGACACGCAGCGGGGCCACCTGCCCTGTGGTGGATCGTCCAGATGTAGCAGGTCTCGGCAGTGGGAGTGGCAGATGTATTTACGGTCTGAAACAGAAAACACAACATGATTCCTGTGGAGATGAACAGGGCTCTCTATCCATCCCACAGGCAAAGGGAAATCTGAACCCCCTAAAGCAAAGCCATATCCAACTTAAAGTCATGGCAATCAGAGTGTTGGCCCCGTCTGCTCACAAGAAAATACTGAACTGTTTCATTCTCCGCCATCTTGGCTTCCTATGAAATCCAGTCATAGCTTTGTTGATTCTCTTTTAGAAAAGCAGGGTGTTGGGTTTGCTGATCAGTTGGTTTTTGAGACATAGTCTCATTCTGAAGCCCAGGTTGGCTTCAAGCTCTTTTTTAAAATGTATTTTATGTGTATGGGTGTCACATATATGTCTGTATACCACGTGTGTGCCTGGTGCTCATGGAGGCCAGAAGAAGGCATCAGATCCCCTGGAGCCGGAGTTACAGATGGTTGTGAGGCATCCTAGGGGTCCTCTGGAGGAGCAGCCAGTGCTCTCAACCATTGAGCCACCCCTCCAGGCCCTGCCCCAAGCCCCTTTTATTGTCTTGCCTCCACCCCAACCCAAGCGTTAGAACGACAGGTGTACGTAACCACATCTGATTCCCAATTTTTAAAAAATGAAACAAGCTGGGCGGTGGTGGCGCACGCCTTTAATCCCAGCACTTGGGAGGCAGACCCAGGTGGATCTCTGTGAGTTTGAGCCAGCCTGGGCTACCAAGTGAGTTCCAGGAAAGGCACAAAGCTACACAGAGAAACCTTGTCTCAAAAAACCACAAAACAAACAAACAAACAAACAAACAAATAAATAAATAAACAAAATCACGTAGCATAAACTTCACAGTTTAAACTATGGTTTTTAGTATGTTTAAAATATTGTGCAACTATGGCCAACTAACTAATATCCATGTCTGTCTTCCCAGAAAAACAAACAAACAAATAAACAAACATATGATTGGTGGGTACTTCCCATTCCCATTTCTTTCACAACTATTAATTTATTTTTTGTCTCTATGGATTTGCTTATCCTGGATATTTTATACAAGTGAAACATGCTATGTGGCACTTTTTTTTTTTCTTGGCTAACAGCTTTGTCTCAGTAGAATATTCTCAAGGTCTGTCTCCATCATAGCCCGGCCAGCACCTCATGTGTTTGTGCAGATGAACAGTATTCCGTTATATGAATGGATCATAGTCTGATTACTCGCTTATCACCTGGCAGATCTGGGGTTGTTTCTTCTTTCGGCCTGTATGAGTTACCTCTCCTCGGCTGTGATAAACCTACCCACCTCCCGTAACCGTGATTAAAAAAATTAGACAATGTTAGTAGAATACATGTGATATGAAAGGGGGGAATACTAGAGCTGAAAGGCTTAACAAGCAGGGGTCAGGGGTGGAGAGGAAGAGGTGTGAGGTATGTTCACCGCAACTAAGGATGAGTGGAAAAGTCTATGTAAATCTACTTTGCAAGCTCATTTTAAAATACCATTTAAAAAAAAAAAGAGTTTGAATACAGTTACCCTGCGTGGGTGGACAATACTTCCCCTAAAAGACATGGGTTAGTAAATGCAATTTTGGTGCCAGGAGAGAGATTCCTCTCTGTGAGGTATTGGTCAGGGATGCCCCAGAGGTCCCCCCAACAACACAGACTATCAGCATTGTTCTTGGTTGCCCACCATAGCTAGACAGTAAGACACAAGAGGCTTTGGTTTCAGGACGTAGGGTAGGAGACTGGCATTGACCTGGAAACTTCCTCCCTGCTGGCTCACTTTCCCAGAGAGGCAAGGTGCCGTGCAGAACACTGGAAGGAGAAGATGCATCGGTGGACTCACCCAGCAGGGGCCTTCCGTGCTACAACACCAACCTGCCAGGCAAGACATACTCACGGATGGAGTAGAAGCATTCAAGTGATGGGGATGACCAACCACTTCCTGATTGGATTCAAGGTCTGCTCCCCAGGAGGGAGTTCAAGCCTGGTACCGTAAACCAGGTCCAAAGCCCATGGCTCCCGAGGTCACAGACCCTAGTGAGGGAAACTACTGCTGTTGTTTTGCGACATGGACTTCTACATATTTATATTTATATCCATAACTGCCGCTCTCAACCTTGGTAAAGAGACCCCCCTGCAAGGGGGGCTGGAGAGATGGCTCAGAGGTTAAGAGCACAGGCTGCTCTTCCAGAGGACCCGGGTTCAGTTCCCAGCAACCACATGGAGACTGGCACACAACCACCTATAACGAGATATGGTGCCCTCTTCTGGCCTGCAGGCAGAACACTATGTACATGTGTACATAATAAATAAATAAGTAAACACATAAACAAACAAACAGACAAATATTAAAAAAGAAAAGAAAAGAAATCTCTGCAAAGGGCAGTGACTGTTGGTTGAGCACTCTGCCCTAAGTGGGACGTCCATCTCAACTTCACCAAGGCTCAGAGGACATCACAGGAAAGAGGGCAGAGAGAATGGAAAGAAAGCTGGCAGATGGGCAGGAGTGCTGTGAAACACTGTCCCCTGGACATGACACAGCCTTGCACTCATGAACTCACATGATCTGCACACGATGAGGCCAGTCAACGGCCAGGCACTGATGGGAGAAGCTCATGAAGCAACATCCAGCCACGGAGCTGCTGGCCAAGGATAGCTGATGGTGGGGGGTGTTACTTTCCTTTGGGGGACTGGCCCAGGGCTGCCCATTCTTATGTAGGCAGCACTAATCGGGTTCCATGGATTATGGGGAGGGAGGATGAGAAGGTCGGGGGGGGGACATATTAGAGGAATGAGGGAGTAGGGGGAGGGCGGACTTGGTGATTATGATCAATACATATCCTATACATGTATGAAATTGCTGAATAGAAATACCTGACCAGGCAACTTAGGGAGGAGGGGTTTCCTATGGCTTCCTATTGAAGGGCACACATCCTCTCAGAACAGAAAAAGTATGACAGCAGAGAGAGCAAGAGGCAGCTGCGGATGCTTGCTGGCTGGCTTTTGCTGTGGGATAATCCTCGTGCACACTGTAAAGATTTGTCACTCGAACTGGTTTAATAAAACACTCATTGCCAGTAGCCAGGCAGGAAGTATAGATGGGTCTACCAAACTAAGGATGATGGGAAGAAGGAGGGCAGTATCTGGAGTCACCAGCCAGATGCAGAGGAAGCAAGATGAGGATGTTGTACTAAGAAAAGGTACCAAGCCACGTGGCTAAACATAGATAAGAATTATGGGTTAAATTAAGTGTAAGAGCTAGTCAGTAATAAGCCTGAGCTACCAGCTGAGCATTTATAAGTAATATTAAGCCTCCAAGTCAGTTATTTGGGAAGCGGCTGCTGAGTGTTTGGGAACAGGCAGGCGGGAGAGAAACTTCTACAAGCTTTCTCTCTTTTCTTTTTGCATGCTCTCTCTACATAGCCCTGGCTGTTTCAGAACTCACTCTATAGACTAGGCTGGTCCCAAACTCACAGAGATCTACCTGTCTCTGCTTCTCAAGTGCTGGGATCAAAGGCATGTGCCACCACAGCCTGGCTGCCAGTTATTTTACTTATTTATTTATTTGTTTGTTTATTTATTTATGTTTTCTTGAGACAGGGTTTTCTGTGTAGTTTTGGTGCCTGTCCTGGATCTTACTCTGTAGACCAGGCTGGCCTTGAACTCACAGAGATCCGCCTGGCTCTGCCTCCCAAGTACTAGAATTAAAGGCGTGCACCACCAGTGCCTGGCCAGTTATGTATTCTTTTTTTTTTTTTATAAGGGAGACTGGACCCAGGGCTTTGCACCCATTGTTGAGTTATATAAGACTCCCTTGTTTGTTTGTTTGTTTTTAAAGATTTACTTATTTATCTATTTATCTATTTATCTATCTATCTGTCTATTTATTTATTTATTTATTTATTATGTATACAGTGTTCCGCCTGCATGTGTCCCTGCAGGCCAGAAGAGGGCACCAGATCTCCTTACAGATGGTTGTGAGCCACCGTGTGGTTGCTGGGAATTGAACTCAGGACCACTGGCAGAGCAGCCAGTGCTCTTAACCTCTGAGCCATCTCTCTAGGCCCCAGTTATGTATTCTTAAGTTCAGGCGAGAAGAGCCAGCCCCTACTTCAATCCTGGGATTGTGTAGGACAGGGAAGTAGTCATGGACTGCAGCCTGTCCCTACCCTTGGGGGGAGAAATGGCGGCCCAGGAAGGCTTGACGTCATCGAGATCACACCCGAGGTGAAGTGGTCTAGGCAGGGACTACCTGGGCTTGGGGAGGTGCAGGACAGTCCCCTCGTCCTCTGGCTGTGGCGTCCTTCTTCTTCACGAGGCTAGGGGAACATCCTCTTTCAGAGCTACCACCCCTTCCTCTAGATGTCATCCCTTGGGTAACCGGTCTGATCTCAGGGCCAACACAGGCCTCTCTTGTCTGAGCTCTCCTCCCAGAGAAGATGGCAACTGCTTACCCAGAAGCCTCAGGGCTAACAACACAGGCAGGGGTGGCGGGGTGGGGGTGGGGGTGGCAGAACTACTGTTACAGTGCTGTTGGCTGGCCTTAGACACAGGGACAGGGTTATCACAGGACGGGTCCCCTGTGCAAGGTCTCAAGTGTTCTAAAGGCTGGAGCTGGGGGCTGGAATAGAAACAGATAAACTGTTAGGCCCAAGGCCTGGGGATGTTAGAGTTCATCTACCCTTTAGAACTCTGAAAAAACAAATGTCTATTCAGTCAGTTAGTCGTATAAAATAGCACTATAAGAAAATATTAATATAAAATAGCATTATATGCCAGGCATGGTGGTGTACGCCTTTAATCCCAGCATTTGGGAGGCAGAGGCAGGAAGATCTGTGAGTTCGAGGCCAGTTTGGTCTACAGAGCAAGTTCCAAGACAGCCAGGACTGTTACATAGAGAAACCCTGTCTCAAAAAACAAAGAAAAGAAAAGAAAATTACATTATAGATCAACTTGCATAAGTTAAGGAGACTGAAAATGAATGAATGAATGAACGAACGAACTCCAGGTAGCTAGAGACTCAGGTGCCAGTGGATGAGAGGGAAGATGTTCTGTAAACAGTTGAGGACGTGAGTCAGGAGTTCAGGAGGGAGAGCTAACTCTAACAGCATCCTGGGACCCCTCCATGGCTGAGGCGTATGGGAGGCAGAGGTGTGACTGAGGTGGTCTGAGGGAATGCGGACCCCCCGAAAAAGCAGTTTGCTGGTCATGTACGTGGCCTGGTTTTGAATTCTGCTCCCTCTTCTCACAGACTAGAATGTTTGCACAGATTACCAATCCACTGGGAAAAACCATGCAAATGGGAGTATTTTTAATATTTATTTGGTGTGTGTGTGTGTGTGTGTGTGTGTATACGTGTGCATGCGAGTGCGCGCACGTGCCCACATGTGGGAGCAAAGGTACCACAACTACATGGAAGTCGAAGAGCAACCCCCAGAAGTCAGTTCTCCCCCTCCATCACGTGGGGTCATCAGGCATGGCAGCCAGTGCCTTTACCCACTGCGCTACCTGGCTGGCTAGCCCACAGAGGTCTTCTCAGCTTTAAATGACGGACTTGGAGCTGGCTCCGTGGGTCAAGCACATGCTGTGCGAACCTGAGGACCCGAGTTTGGACCTCCAGCATCCACATAAAAGTCAAACACATCAGTGCACATCTGTGAGCCCAGCACTCGGGAAGGAGGGACGGGCAAATTCCCAGAAGTTGCCACTCACCCAGTCTGGCTGAATTGGTAAGCTCTAAACTCAGTGAGAAAGCCTGCTTTGAAAAAAAAAAAATACGGTGAGCAATGAAAGAGGACAACCGCCAGCATCGTTCTCTGGCCTCCACACATCGTGATGCACCTGAGTCACGTGAGCACATACATACACAGAACAAAACACACAGGCGAACCTGGGTAAGCTGCAGAATCAGACGTATCCCACCTAATAGGATCCGGCAGCCTGTTGGCCACCAGCACCTCGGCGTAACTGTGAATGAGGTCCGACACTAAGTCATAAACTTCCTTAAAGCATCATGAGACTTTTTAGTCTTTTATTTATTTGTTTGTTTATTTATTTATTGTTTGTTTGTTTGTTTGTTTGTTTGTTTTTGCCTTTTCAAGACAGGGTTTCTCTGTGTAGCTTTGCGCCTTTCCTGAAACTTGCTGTGTAGACCAGGCTGGCCTCGAACTCACAGAGATCCGCCTGCCTCTGCCTTCCGAGTGCTGGGATCAAAGGCATGTACCACCACTGCCTGACCCTTATTTATCTATCTATCTATCTATCTATCTATCTATCTATCTATCTATCTATCAACTCAATAGGATGGCTGCTGAGCGTGAACTTTGTAGATGACCATGTCGCAATGCCAAAAAGTTGGAGGGAGGTACCAGTTGGGGTGTTTTAGAGTGGGAACTTCAGACAAAGTGGCAGCAGTTTTTGCTTTAGCAAGGATGAGGATAAGGATAGAGTGTTGCTGTGATGGGTGGGGATGTGGGGGTGCTTAGAGGAAGGGAGCGTGTCTGGAGGTCAGAGAAAACCAATTAGAGAGAAGGGACCCATGGGGAAGGAAGTGAAGACCCGTGAGCTTCCAGGAAACCGTTGCGGGGCTGGAGAGATGGCTTAGCAGTTAAGAGCGCATGCTGCCGCTGCAGCTGCAGAGGACCCCGGTTCTGTTCCCACCACCCGAGCGGCGGCTCACAGCCCCCCTAACTCCATCTCCAGGAGATGTGTTATCGACTGGACACGCACTCGCACACAGATATAGACACACACACGTTTGGGAATAAAGATGGAGGGCTGGCGAGATGGAGGAAGAGTCAGGAGCGCCGGCTGCTCTTGCAAAAGACATGGGCTCGCTTCCCAGCACCTACATGGCGGCTCACAGCCACCTGGAACCCCGGTTCCAGAGGATCTGACGCCCCCTTCCGGCCTCCACAGGCATCGAGCACGCACATGGTGCCCATACATCCATACAACCACTCACGCAGACATATACAATAAAAATAAATTTAAGAATCACAATAAATTTTTTTTTTATTAAAGAAAACAATTAGGTCAGCCATGGAAAGTGTGACCGCAGAGAAGAAGAACAAGGGACCAGGTGCTGGGAGACTCTAAGGCACAGAAACTTGCCTTAAAAGGACATGAGAGAGAGAGAGAGATGGGGGAGGAATTTGACTGTGTCTCCCTGGGAGACTCAGCGGAGACTAAGAAGAGCCCCTGCCCATAGAGAACGTGGATACTGCCATGTTAGGAATTAGTAAACTACGGATGTTGCATCTGGTGGGAAAGAGCAAAGACTCTTTACCTGTTACCCCCACCCTGTGGACTAAGGTGGTAATTTGGTAGAATTCTGTGTCTAAACTCTGAATAGAATAGGATATGCAATGCATTTTAATTCCTTAGTTCACGTATTCCCCTTCTAAAGCTACGTACCTTAAAAAAAAAAAGTTCCAGGCTGTTTTCACCTGAGAACCAGATTAAATTGATCATTTTACTATTAACATCTGCTTACATGGATGTAAATAAACACGAATTGAGTTATCGAGCTGTTTGAGAGTCCACGTTTTTCTAAGAGGGGACTCTTTCATAACAAGAGGAAAAGTTTTCTCGCTCACTCGAGATTAATTCTGACCTCCGTGACGCTGAGCCCACAGCGGACATCCCTCCTCCTCCCAACACAACACTTGCGGGAAGCAAACACAAGCCCAAGCCAGTCGATCTCTCCTCGTACATGCCGTTTTGATGGAATGGGAATGGTCTCTCGAAGGAGCATCGAGTTAGAAGACAAAGGCACCATGGGCTTCTCTATAAATTTCGTCTTTACTAAAAGGCGCTTCTTGTTTTGTGCTTTTGGGACAGAGCCTCGAACTTGCTTCATATGTAGCCGAGGATAACCTCGAACACCTGGTCCTCCCAACTCTACCTCCCAAGTGCCGGGTCTACAGGAATGTACCACCTGCCCATTGATCATGAAGAGCTGGTAAGCAAACCAGGATTTTCTACCAACTAAGCTACAAGCCTTGCTGAACGAGGGTACATCTTATAACGAAAGGCATGCTGCAATACGATGAACAGCATTTTCCATCCTAACAGATATACGAAATGATGGTGTTTATCAAAATCGATGGTGCTTGGCTGGAGACACAGTTCAGTTGGTAGAGTACTTGTCTAGCATATACCAAAGCCCTGGATTTGACCTAGCACCACATACACAAGGCACAATGGTGCCTGCCTATAATCCCGCCTGGCACTTGGAAGATAGAGGCAGAGGCATCAGAAGTTCAAGGTCATCCTCGGAGGTGAGTTTGAGGCCACCCTGAGATATATGACATGTCCTGAGTTTGAAGCCAACTTGGTCTACGCAGTGAGACCCTGTCTCGAAAGAGAAACAACTACCACCATGAAACACTGGTGCCGTAGCTGTGACACCAGTCAGGCTGTGCTTCCTACAAGGCAAGCTGTTCCAGACAGATGGACAAGAGCTTTTGACATCAGTAAGATGGTTACATGACAAACACACAGCCCAGACATTTGTCATAGCTTAGTATTAAGTCTGGCAGTTTGCTAGGTACATCAAGAAACAGCAGGTCCTGGATCAAGGTCATAAGTGTCCTTTCTGGGGCCGTTCCAACCACCTTCACCTTAATCTTTCTCTCTCCCTCCTCCCTCCCTCCTTCTCTACCCCCTTGCTCTCTCAACACACACACACACACACACACACACACACACACACACACACACACACACACACACACTGCATGTGCACACACCTGTAAGACACTTCCAATCTTGCAGGGGCTCTACAAGTCTCGGGACCCGGCATCTCCGACCCTTCTTTTCCTCAGGATTTCATTTCTGTTAAAACTTCATGGAACATCTGCTGATAATCAAGGCCTTCCCCCATTTTCTGAAAACCCAGGGAACCCCAGCCCCACCAGGCATTCTTCGGAGATGCTGCGGCACCTGAATCCACTCCCCCACTGGCCTTCAGCCAGTGCGGCTACCCAAATGTTTCCTTGCTTGCTGAGAACCTGGAGTCACAGCCTGAAAGTTCTTGTGTCCTTTTAGGAAGAATCTGGACAGCAAAAACACATGTCCTTGATATTTATAACTGGTCAAAATAATGCTGGAGTCAACGCTCCATCTGTTACCGAGACTCAGACCCTCTGAGCCGTCCCGTAGGCTGGCTGCGATTCTCAGCCTTTGTTCGACTCATGCAACATTTGAAAGCACATTTGCCAACAAGAAACAAAGCTTCCTAGGGAAATGGCTCATAAACGAACTCAGATGGTGAGAAGCCCAAGCAGCAGGCCTGGCTGAAGTGTTCATCCCTGGCCCCCCAGAACCAGCTGGGTCTCGCAACATCAAAGGCATGCGCAATTCATTTAACGTGGGTCCCTGATCCCTCCCAGCAGCCCCGGGGCCCTCAGACCTCTGAAGGGAGGCGAAAGCT